CGAAGTCAATAAAAAGGAGAAAAAAATAGAATATAAGAAGAAGCTATATTGCAAAAGATAACAATGATGGACCTGAAGTAATCATCCGTTCAGTAACACAGATAGTAAGTGTAAAAATTTAACATTAAGGAAAAATTCTATGATTGAAACGAAGACGATTCTTGGAAAGAAAAGATGCAAGAGTAATGAACCGTGTTATAGATGCAGTTAGTGATTGACAAGTAACAATAATTTTACGATTTTTATTAGATACCATTTTTATCAAAGAATAAGAAATAAAAAAAAATCTCAGTTTTCAAAAAGATTGTCAATTCCAAATTGAAATAAAGGGCTGTTGCTTAAATTATGTATGTACATTGTCACTTAAGATAAGGTATCTTTCGCAAGAAATATAAAGGGCAGAGAAACAAATTTAACAATTGCTAAGAAATATTTAAGGTTCTGGCGGAGGCAAGTCTTGAAATATTGGGAAAAGTGTCATGTTTATGATATGAGTGATGATAAGGAACATATATTTGATATTGAAGCTAATCCTCAAAGAAATAACGAAAAACTGTAAACAATCTAACTCTACATCAGAGAGCTTATCTAAGAGATATAAGTACAAAAACTATGAATCATATCACATAAAATGTTGGCGATGATAAGGCACATATATATTTGAAGTATTCCCTAAAAGAATAAAAAGTAAAACAGAAATACTGCACAAAAACGTTAACCTGTAACACAGGCGTCTGGGCGAGGACAGCTTTCCATATATCATGCGTAAAGTCATCCTCAAAATAATCCCGTGACTTAACAATCAATCTAAATTTAAGGTATCTTTTAATGCACATTGTGTTCAAATCGCGCGCGGCTAATTTTCTTTATTATTTTTTCCGGCATAACTATTAATGAATATATATATATTATTCTAACACGTACCGCATTTATCTTATTGAACTTAGAAGAACCAAAAGTTTGTGTTATTACGCAATTAAATCACTGTTTACGTTCTATATTTAGAGTCTTACATATGACGTTATCATTATACATGTAACTTGTAGCCACTAAAATGCAAGGCGCTGAAAAAAGTACGGAAACAAATCAGGCACAATTAAGCTTAATGTCAGGTACGGCACCATCTTTTTGTTGATGTCGTGTTAGAATTGAAATAATATATCCAAATCGGTTATTTAACGCTTGATATAATTCCTCGCATTCGAACTCTAAACAATGATTTTATTGTAATCGAAATTGTTTGGGATATATTATTTCTTAATTCACATACTTACCATATTGTATGGATAGCTTGGTATGAATGGATTATCAAATATGTGCACACTTATATTTGCCTGTCCTTTCGCGTGTATGTACTTTCGTGAATATTTGAGAGAGAAAAATGAGAAGAAGAAAAGCAAGTTTAATTTTTTTATGTCTAAGTATGGAACACCATAGCTGATTTTGATAGATGGTTATGTGGTTTTGATAGATGGTGATGTCGTTTTTACAAGGTAATGTCATTGTCATGTACATGTATTCTGGTGTTGTTTTAATGTATATTGATGTGGTGGTTTTTATATATGGTGATGTGCCTTTCATATATGGTGATGTGGTTTTAATAGATTGCAATTGGTTTTGGTAAATGGTGATGTAATTTAGATAAAATATACTCTTGTTTAGTTGCTTCTATCTACTCTTGTTTGGTTGCTTCTATCTATGGTGTTACTTCTTGTTAATGATCATTTTTATTACGAGTATGTTGAACTATTTATAGACAGTCTGGATAACAAACGGATCTATTTGATAATGATAAAACTATTCTTACACCGTACAACTTAAGGCAATTTGTCATCAGTTAGGAAAGTCTTCAGACACTTAAAGCATGGAGATTTAAACCCCTTAAAATCCAAAAATTTGCATGTTTGTCAGTATCAGCACAACAACGTCTTTGTTATTTCAACATAGTGCACACTTATAGGTTATTTAACATCTATCTGTACAATACAGGAATAAATTTGGACGAGTTCATTGATTGGTGGGCTGTAAGGTAAGTCTAGTAGGAGTTCTTAATAAGCTGTGCACGAGTCCAAATTTATAAACGTATTCTACCAGCTAAATGTAAATTTATCTATTTATTCTTTATCTAATTTTAATTTTTGAAATTCTACTAGCACATTGAGAATTGAAAATTGAGTAACTCTCAAAACGGTACTGAGTTAGGCGTACGGAAGGTTACACATTCTCTTTACCCCTCATGCACAGAATCAATCAAACTGAGTCAGCAATTTTCATTCAAATTTGTTGTGATTATGCTTCCGACGAATCACACTTTTCCCACTTCTGTAAAATAAGACTTTAGCCGTGTCCATGAACAGGCTCAATCAAACCAAACATGCAATATTTTCCATTTTGCCGTGTTGTGTACTTTACATTTCTTTTTTAGACATTCAAGCTTCCTCACACTTCTTTTTAAAATCATATTTCATTTTGTCCCAACCATTGTTTTCTCGTTTTAGCCATCAGTATTCGTTTACTTAGGGACCATACGCCGCTTTACATGAAATAGCAGTAACGTGCCACATTGAAAGTTCCATGATCATTACCGTATGTTAACATTTGCGGATGTTTCTACATTCAACATTTTACCATTACATGTTTAAATTTTGAACTCTGCTCGAGCCGGCGCTTTTTACAGAATCTTGTTTTTTCCAGAACCGCCCATAAACAAAGATAAACATTAAACCGAGTCTGCAACATTATCAATTTTGCCTTTTTGGCCGTTCTTAAGATATACTGTTATCTCTATTTTATCATTGATGCATGAAGATCGTTTTTAAGGTATATGTAATAATATTCCTTCTTTTTTTAGTTGGGTTGTTATTCCTACTTCAATACTATATAATCACACTTGCCTGTCTTTAACGTCGTCTTTTGACAGTTCGTCTGTGATATACAAGCTTCATAACCTCAGATCCCCTTTTACAAATTAATTATATTTAGTTCCGTCAAGTTTAAAAGCATTCTTTCAATTGGGAACAAAACGGTCCTTTGCATAAAGTGGCATTAACGAAAAATGAAGGGCTTTCAGGTTATCGCAATAAAAAAACATCTGCAGATGTTTCTAAATTGTTTAGTTATTGAATTCTGCTCAAGCCGATGCTAGAGGGAAGTGAATGGTAGCTTGTATTAACCACTTTTGTCCATGATTAGACTCGATCAAGCTGAGCTTGCAACATTATCAGGTTAACCGTTAAGGCGTTCGTAAGGGACTCCATTGTCTAATATGGAAGTGTATTGGATAGAAACGTGGTATAATCTTAAAACAATTATGTAATGTAAATGATTAATACAAAATTACATGTTTTTATATCTAAACATATTTTAGATGTTTTATCTATATATTTATATATAATACGTGTATGTGCTTTGATTTACTGGTATAATTTGTTTGTGTATTTTAAGGTATTTGGAGCTCCACGTCTAATTGTCTTTAATGTAAGTGATGATAAAATTTACGGTGTCAGACCATTTTTTTCCATCATCAACCTGATTCGGTTAACAATAAGGCCATATATAAATCGTAGACATCATCGTAATAAAAATGATAGAACCATATGTCAAAATAGCATCACCATTTATTGAAACGACATCATCATATATCAAAACCATTACATCATATAAAATATGAAAGCACACATCACCAATTGTGCAAATCACAGAAATAACAAAATTATAAACGAAAACACCATCTATCAAAACGGCATGACCATATATTAAAACTACAGCATAATCTATCAAAACGACATCATCATAATTATAGAAACGGCAGCACTATTTACCACAATAATATTATAAATTATTAAGATGACATTACCATATATTCAAACCATAGCACGACATCATAATTTATCAAAACCTAAGACCATTTATCAAAACCACAGCACCATTTATTTAAAACACAGTGCCATCTATCAAAACGACATCACAATTTATGAAAGCGATATCCACACAAATGAGTGCGTATATAAGCCAACTATGGCGTTTCATACTATACAATCTATTCTTAATATAATCATTTATTCGTTCGTTCGTTTGCTCATTCGTTCATTCATTCTCATTTATTCATTTATTCATTCATTCATTCATTCAGGCATTCATTCATTCATTCAGTCTGCGTCCATATTAAATCATACAATTCGATACGTATTGTAAACTGTCTTACAGACGTGTAAATTTTGTAATCAAAAATTAGTTAAATTACCCAGATAAGTTGCTAATATTTATTTAAGGAACATAATTCCTATTTATCATTGATTTGTTTTCGTTATTTAATCCTAAGTGTGCAAATTATATTTTTAACGTGAAAATTTTAAACAGAAGTAAATACACAAATACAATGTATCAGGGTCAAATAAGAGTCCCATTTTATTACCTTCCTGGTCTTTCCTTTGCGACAACTAGCGCAGAAAGTATACGTAGGCACAGTAGTGCATAATTATGAAACTTTCATACATACCTGAACCTTTAGATCGCTAAAGGAATGTCATTTTAAAAAAAAAGAATATATAAAAATATCATTGATATTTAGACACTTATAAAAACCTCTCTATTTGAAGCGTCGCGTGGGTTTTTTGGACAAATATTTAATTTTTGAATGTATGAATGTGTGCGCATATGTACGTACACAAAAGAACAAGCTGAAATGTCTTTAATTGCATTATTTATTATGATATAAGCGTCCGTTCATACATTATGTTATATTTTGCATTGAGATATATTGAAAAGCAAAAGAATTCATTTTCTCACTAACCAGATAGAAACATCCGTAAATGTTACTAAAACATGTTGGAAACTCTTATCTCATATGGGCTTATCTCACACTCAACGTGCAGCACTTCTAAAAACGTATACATACGCGATTCATTCCTACAAAAATGAAACGTGAAAAGGTCAAAATGTATTAAAAATATGTGAGCTAATCATGGAATCAAAATTTCACATTGCAATGAGTCCTACTCTACATAGGTCCGCCCTTTTCAATATCGATCTGTTACTAAAAATAGCACACTTTAAAATATCGCAAAATTCTTCGTAAAATCGGATATTATGACACTTTTCCTGAAGACCATCCATGTTTTCTGTTTTGATAATGATGCTTCTTAAAGACGAATCTCATTTTGATATAATTTAATTGAATATTCGGCCAAAATAACCGAGTGAGTAGAAAAAACTTTGCAAACGGTAAACGCTTTTTGGCAACCATTTTAGTATGGACTGAATTCCTTATAAACACTTATATTATGACACTTTGACTTTAATTTTGATGTGTTTTATCATGATAACCTTGCTTTTTATGAGGGATCTCATATGAATTTATTTTCATTGAATTTTTCCCACATAAACTTGGTCAGTAGCATTTTTTCCGGACGTACGTCAGGCGCCTAAGCCCCGCCCCGCTTTTCAAAACTAGGGCGTAGATCTAGTTTCACTGATATTATTTGTGTCCAGGTGAGTGAGAAAAATAATCAGCCAAGGCTCGTTCCCGATAGAAACGATCATCCTCGGGTTGGGATTTCCCTATCCTCTATCTAACCCAATGATAGATTCTATTAATCCATTTAAATAGATATAATCAATATATAATTCAATTATATTTATTAATAAGACCATGAAAAAACAAACAAATAAAATCACGATTTAATAAGCCGCGCGCGATTTGGTAACAATTCGCGTTATATAATAATGAGTGTTATGGTAATGGCATTGATGATAATGCTGTTTTTTTTCTTTTTCTTCTTTTTTTTACTGTCTACTTTGTCCACCAATTTGAAAAAAAATCAAATCTCTGCGCCACCTCGGTTTTCATGGAACATAATATCCGAATGAGAGCTCAGAAGCAAATATAATGGTGATAATCATGATGATACTTACGACTATTATTATGATGACAATGATAATTATGGTTATGATAATGATGATGATTTGATAATTCACAATTAATGCTTTTGAATAAATCTTTTATTTTCTATGTCTGTTTATATTTGCCATAGTGCGAAAATTTGCCATGCCAAAAATGAAGAAAATTTAAAACTGTGATACATGCCTGTGTTAGGAATTTTGAAGTTGTCTCCGCTTAAACGTTCTTGTTCGTTTGTTTCTTCAGTAAATGAAATATTTAAAGACTGAGTAGAACCTCTGCGCGGAGATGTTTTTTGTCGAGTCTTCTGATCATCATTTGATACTGCTGTAGCAATTTGTCCAACAGGCTCTTTAATAAAACACAATTTAACACGATTATTGTATGAACTATAAACATGTATTGTTTAACCTTTACCTTTTAAGCTAATTATGAAAAATGGCCGTTTTCACTGAAAGCCTCCTTAACAAGTTCAAACTGCTATGAAACTATCAAAAATGCTTCAATATTGATGAAACTTGGCAGAAATGTTGACTGGATCATAGCCGTTTTAACAGCATGCTCAATTGTAAGTTTCCTGTGACCATGGCAGCGGGAGACGTCTCAAAATTGCCAAAGATAACTATTTTGCATTGTTTGTTTTTTTATCAAAACTGATTTCAAAGTGCTGCAACTTCTCAGTGGATTGAGGGGGGCCCCTGCCCCTCTTCAAACCCCAAAACAGAAGGGGGCACATCCACCTCTTGTACCCCCTTGATGTATATTTTTGAAAGGGGGCGGCGACAACAAGTGATCACTTTGTTAACAACATTTCTTTTTAAAAAAGTGTTCGGGCATGTATAGGGCATTTTTTCACCATTTGAGGCCTCAAAAAAGGGGGGGGGGTGAAAAAACGTCTATATGATGCCCAAGCTTAAAGGTTAAGATTTATAATAATTATTGTAATTTTTTTTAAAGTTTAAAGGATTAAGCTCCCCTGATAATTAAATCAGACCCAATCCATTTTTACAGCTTTTTCGGAGAAAATCATGTAATATCGGGCAAAATATATTCAATGGTTAAGAAAAAATCCCTTTAAGATTTTATCAATGCAATAGCGAACGTTGGACAATAAACATCAAACGGTCAAATACATTTAATTGATTTATGCTTGTATAAGGACAACATTTGTTTTATTTGGCTAACCTGTCCAGTTTGAGTTTGCATCTTCCGTCTATGAACAGTCTCAGAAAAACCAAGCCTGAACCTTTATTCTTTTTTGTCCCTTTTCGGATTTTGATTTAAAAGTATTCAATTTAATAGAAAAATAATATACTCAAATTTATCTGTACTTAAAAATAAAATGAAATCAAAAAACCTCTTTACTTGGTACTTGTTTTTAAACACAATATACCGGCAATTTCAATTATTGAGTCTTCAGTTTAAACAGTTTAAAAAGGAAGTCTACAAGGCGTGCTATTCAACTTTTGATATAAGATAATTTATCATTCTTCCATGAATAAATGAAATGTTTCCCTCTAAAATAACCTTAAAATACGTATTGATTTCCTGATTATTTCCTTTTTTTTATTAATTTAATAAAGAGGCGATAAAACTTTTTAATCTACGTGGTCGTCAAAAAAGGTATGTAAAAATTGCTTGATAATCATTCTAACGTATATAACTAAACTTATAATACTGCACGTTTGTAACGTCGCTTTTCATTGGATAATCGTGACGTTTATATAGTTTTATATACACGGTGATTGTCGATTCATGAAGAAATCTTACATTTTTCTCTAAAACATGATGCTTGCTGTATTATAAATTCTTTATAAAGATTGTTGACAGGTTATATGGCCGTACATAAACGGCTGTTAGCAATACAACCCTCGCCTAGCGGCTCGGGTTATATTTACAAATAGCCATTATATATAGCAATATAACCTATCAAAAATCTTAATAACTAAAATTGTTTCTGGGGTTGAAATTTGCAACATTTCACAAAAGTAATAAATCCTTTATTAATGCGATATACACTACATTATGAATAAGTTTGATCAGAACATTATGTGGGTTACAAATATAGAACTCGGTCCAAATGGATTTGAAACAATGTCGGCGTAAACATTTCATATTTCTCATATATCTCAAGGATATACAAGAGATGTAAATGATAATAATATGGAAATTTGTGGGCATCTAGCACTGTTCAATTGTTACACAAAGTAAATTTGTCCTTATGACTTGCAAACCTACCGTAACCATCAAGTTCATCTTCTTCAGCTTCTTCTGCTTCTATTCCTGCTTTGTCTTGACGAGGAAACACTAAAGCAACACGAGGTGTTAATTCACGTGGTGGTACTGCAAATGTTGGAATACATGTTTACTTTAAGAAACAAATGTTATGAGGATACATTTAAATACATTCATTCATCATCCAACAAATTAATCATTTTGTTCTTTTAATTACCATATACACTAAAGAAAACTAATTATCCCTGACTACATATTCTGAACATGGTTGTTACACTTTTTAAAGCAGAACTTATAAATGTAACATGTGAAATTGCTACATCTATTCCAAATAATCATGGTAAATTTCATTAATTTACAATGAAAATTAACGCAATGACAGCAAAATTGGATGGATTAACCAAAGCACTGAATGTGACAAAGTTCCTGTTACAAAAAAGCAATATTTTTGTAAACTTCACGAGTTATTTATCTGAGCAATTAATCCTGTTTATTTGTTACCAATAGTTATTTTCTATTTGGCAAAATCATCATTACAACAACTCTGAGTATGCTACATAAAATCCTGAACAGTATCGTTGACAATTATCAAATGAGTTCTATAAATATCATTGCCACAACTTGTCGATTGATGCACAATGCAAAATATATTTTAATACAAAATCATAAAATTAAAGGCATCCGATATTTATCCGGAAGTGTCATTTCTCTTGCAGAAAGTCAAGTTTTGTACGGGAGATCGTTTCCATGCAGAGGACACTAAATAACTTTTGACTGTCTCATTTGTTACATATAGGGCTATCCATGTATGTAACAATAATACTGATATACCACATATTTCATTTGAAATATGCGCAGTGACAAGACAGTCAAGGTCAGTCGTCAACCTAGTCGCACGATTTTCAACAAACCACATTTTGTTGTACCTGAGAATGTTTGTACTGCTACAATACGACTCTTACTATAAGCTTTGCATGTTTCTATTTCGTATAGCAATAGTCCACGGTGTTTTGATGTGCTGTCCCTCACTAAGTTCTGTTTACATGTTAAATGCGGTCGTGTTTAGTTGCGTTTGGTAAATCGTGCAACCTATTGTGACCTAATTATTTGATTTATTTATAAAAAGTTTGTTGAACTCAGCATGTATATACGCAAGAAAAAATAATTTCAAATTGTTGAATTAAAATTTTGTTTCGTGAAAAATGTTTTGTTTTCTACATAGCATAATGGGTCTCTGATAAATATGTTTTCTTTGTTCTCTGAAAAGGATGAGAAAATATGTGCCTGCTTATTCATACAAACGGAATATTGTCGGATTTGATTTATTTAAGTAATAACTATGATCATATAGATTCCACTACCTTTTAGAGACAAGGAGGCCGTTTCCAATAAATCACCAAATTCTTTTTCTTCCTCCAAAAGCTGTTTCACCATGTGTCCTGCTTGAAACTCATACCTACCAAAATAATTTATAATATCGAATATATCATACCAATATAGAGTATGTAAAGGAAATATATTTCTCACTTAAGTGAATAGAAAATTCCGTGTCAAAGGGCGTGGACGGTCACATGCACTTATCAGTGTCGTCAATGAAAAGGCTCAACTAAACCAAGCCTTCAACATTTTCAATTTTGCTGCATTAGGTTTTTTAAAGGTATTTTATTTCACTCTATTTTTTCTACCAAGTTTCACTTCTAAAACTAACATGGCCATTTAAAGAAAATTTAACCTCAAAATGTGGCGTTCGCTTATGGCAATTGTTTATTGAAATATATTACACATATATATTTGCTGTGACATCAATCATTTGATTCAACCCAAGCCTTTTAACTAGGAAGCATAAATAAAGCGTTATGTTTATAAGTGTAAAAGTGTTCTAAATTATATTTGAATTGGTATAAAGCTTTAAAGTTTCATGATTACTATCAAAGGTCGGATTTTGAGACAAGACATACCTGTAAAGAAAAGTAAGGTAAGCTAGCTGCGTTATACAGTGTCAGATATAAAAGTTTATAAGTTTAATGTAGAAGTTTTTATATGTATGTCGCATATTTATAATTACCTTTCAACAAAATTTAGTTTTTCAATTTCTTCTAACTCAATTTCAATTTGCCGTACATTATCTTGAGATTTTTTCATAGCTATAAACAATGCAACGCTTTGTCCACTCTCTTTTTTTGCATTGATTTCCTGACGAATCTCTGAAGTTTTATTCTCATTCTTACACAATTGCTCATTCACACTCAGTAATCTTTTATTTGATTCTTCGTACTTGAGCCGATTCCTCTTAGATAACATCTTGTAATGTTTTTCAATCAGATCAATCATGACCTGTTTATGCTTCTTAATCAAAGATTCTGTTTCTTCTTTTAATTGATCCGTTATTGTGTTAAATTCGTCATTATCTGCCAATGTTTTAGTTTCACGTGTGAAAACTGTATTAAGTTTGTCTTCATACTCTAAAAACTCCTTAGTTTTAGCGCAGTCAGTAGATGCTTCTTCGATTGTAAGTATCTTCGTATGAGCGCCACTTTTATGTTCTGTAGCTTGGCAAATTACACAGACAACTTTGTCACAATCCACACAAAACATTTCTATAGCATGCTTAGGATGTTTGTCACAAAATGCAGAAAATACATCCTTTTTTATTTTTTTGTTTTTCTTTCCCATCTTTATTTAATAAAAGTCACGATATATTCAAAACCTACCTATGAAATTAAATAACCACAATCATCATGTTTTTTCTTATATTTAGTACATGAAGCTTTAAACTATTGCTTTAATCTACTGTTTACAAAAAGTTAAGAAAGTATTTTGATATTTCACTATATAAATAACTCCCCGTTAACGTACAAATGATATCCTTCTACAGACTTGTATAAAACATATACATGTACATGTCGCAGCTTATACTTCAAATAGTTAACAGTGTGTATGCAAGTTTCGGTCATACGTGAAGGACGTTACAATCATTTTACCTTAAATTATAGGACAGAAAAGATATATCTATAAGATTTTAAACAAAATGATTTATCTTAATATAAACGCTTTATATTTAATGCTCACCTGTGCAATACTGCCTTTTATGTCTTTAGTAATAATTCTGTGACAAACCTTTAATTGCTAGTAATAGTTAATCCAAAAGATCTGGATATAAAACGAAAAAAAACATGTACGCTATGAATTTACAACGAATTATGCAATGTGCCAAAAACAGGACAAAATAAGGGGATTGTACAATTTATGTGACAGAAAACCAATACTAGGAAGTACATGAAAATATTTTATGGGTGACGCGTTCTACGTTCTAAAAATAAACACACAATCATGGTTCGAATTCATTTAGACTGAGTGGTGATACAATGCGAGCTTTTGTAAATCACGCACACGAAAAAATGTAAATACCAATAAATTAAATAGTATAATAGACTGTCTATGTTTACTTAGTTAAACATTTTATAATTGAGCATCGAATTTCATAATCAAATGACATCGGAAATGACACAACTCAAATATAAATATTACATTTATTACTTAAGTCAAAAACTATTCTTCAATAAAATCATGTGTGTCTATGTTGCTAAAAGGGTGATATAACAGATTCGCATTGAGTAAGTCTGTACATAAGAAATATAATGCAGTGCAACATCCTTTATACCCCTAGCACAGAATTGAACAGTTATCAATTTTTTTCACACGTGCGGACGGACCTCAATTGTAAACACTAAAAGTGATGAAATTAATGTTCGCTATAAACTGCAACATGCGTGCAATTTTTATGTTTTTTATTTAAAAGAAAGAGTCAGGTAGGTAAACATGACTACAATATTTACTTCCCCTTTGTACACATGGACAGCGAAAACGAATAAAAGTAGTTTACAATAGAAAATAAACAATAAGAGAAAAGGCACAACATTCAAAGAACATGTATGGTTAGATCGTCCATGTGGAGCAAAACAAAAACGTAACCCTTGTGTTTTGTTCTTGTTTTTTGTTGTTATTATTATAATAATGTTATACATTTATAATTTAATTCAGTCATTCCCATTTTCAATTATTTATCAATATGATAGTGTGTTAAACACAAACCCACTAAACCCAAATCGTAAAGATGATTTCAAACTATCAGGACGCTTTCTGTATGGTTATGAATTTCTACAATTTTGCAACAGTATTTTTTATTGTTAGTTCGATTTTGATCGACACGCTTGTTTGCCTACAGCTGGAATTAAAGGTGGTATACATTATATATTATTATAATGTCACAATCAGGTGACAGTTTTATAAGTTTCATTGATGCAAAAAGCTGATTAGATTTTATTTTCTTTTTTCTTTCATTGCCCATAAAAAAGTGTGTTTTTTTTTAGTTCATGCTTCTGAATTTCTCTACATATATCATCTAGGTAAGACAAGGAAGATTGGTGGAATGGACTTTCCATATTGCCCTCACCTGACGAGTTGATGTTACTTTAGCGTCAAATATCATAACATTCGATTCTACCTACTTTGAATCGCGGTATTTTTACAAATGGCAGCAAGCGATTTAATAGGAAACTGTTGCGCGTTTAGAGACCAATCATTTGCCACACGGCCAAATTCAATCGAATGTCGGCGGTTTTAGCACGAACGTTTAAAAGATTCTTGTGTAGTCTTTTCAATCTTTTCACTGGAAACATTTTTTTGCTTAGTTATTTAAATCTTTTATTTTATAGTCATGAACGTCACATACATTATTTACATTTATTTGATACACTGTAATTTATTTCTTTAATACAGTGAGTTGGCCAATAACGGGTCACTAGCGAAACTTTTAGTGTTTATGAACGAACGTTTTTTAGATTCATATATAAATGTATGATGATAAGAAGTATTTTTATTCCCCTTTTACTGTATACTTCTTGTGAATTCATATTTTGAATGCATCGTGCTGTATTTACCGTTTCCAAACCCCTTGTAAACATGCCAATAGCGGGTCAAATCGGCCATTAGCGGGTCACGTGATATACGAACGGGGGGTTTTCTCAAAACATTAATTATCTGTCAAATTCTTCCCTTAACCAGGAAAATATTACACAACTATGTGTTACCGCTGAGTATTAAAGTGAAAAGGGTACCAATAAGTAAAAAATCCAAGTGACAGCTGCATGATTGTGGTAAAAACAATAATGATTATAATTATGCTGATCTAGATATCTGCTCAATGAATTGTAAATTGTGTAGATAACATATTTATTTCATTTTCAGGGTTACAGGGGACAAAGCAGCTCATCGAAGCAATTTTGTGCACATTCTATGTAAAATTCCATTAAATTAACTGTAACACAAGTCTCTTGTTGTGAATCAAAAGCTTAAAATGCAGTCTCAAGAAATTTGCATGTTCTTCTATGTGGTCATTATGAGGATACACTTTATAAGAATAACAAACAAAATTGTCAACTGATTTTCTCTTATTGAGTACACTCTGTGATATAAACAAACAAAATTATAACAAAATACATGTAATGATGTTAAACAATATTGACTACATCATTTAACAATACTGACTTGGTTCAACGTCAAACCTAAAAAAAAAACATGTCAATAATGTAAAACAATATTGACCAGATCATTAAACAATACTGACTTGGTTCAAAGTCAAACCTAAAGAAAAACCCATGTAATTATTTAAAACAAAATTGACTCGATCATTAAACAATACTGACTTGGTTCAACGTCAAACCTAAAAAAAACAAAACATTTAATTATGTAAAACAATATTGACTTAATATCATTAAACAATATTGACTTGGTTCAATGTCAAACCTAAAAAATACATGTAATGTTGTAAAACAATATTGACTAGATCATTAAACAATACTTGATGGGTTAAAAAAATTATGAATTTTCAGGCACATTATGTGTATGAAAGATTAATAATTCTGTCGAAAGTGCAAAAATGAGTTTAACTATGTTGTAATATGGATTTATATCATATGAGATGCTTATCGTCTGATAAAAATACCTTTGAATATAAAATCATTTGTGATATAGCAAGTAAATTAATACAAAATACTAATTAACTTTAACTGTACTAAACCTAAGCAAAAAAGGAAACTAAAAATGATTCAAAAATATGACCAATAAGTAACTTTTGGAAAGTGCAAAATGGACATTAAAAATAACTAAGCTTTGAAAATATAAAGTGATAGCCTTAAAATAACAAGACTTTGAAAAAAATAATGATAGCATTGTTAGGCTTAATTGGCTTTTACAGAGTTGAAAATTTACACATGTTTATTCCTTGTATAGTGTCATAGCAGGGCCTTCTGGGATTTTATCTAACATTACAGAAAGTTTTTGAAAATTACTCTCAATATCTGGGTGAAATATAATATAGTTGCATGGCAACACAACGCCACCACCTTCAGAACTTGGAGCCGGCCATGGTGGGAAACTCTGAGTGGGCTCACTGGTAACTTCAGCTTCGATATGTCCTTTGTCCATAATGGTACGAAAAAAAACAGCTATCCCTTGTGGAACATGGCCAATTGGAAGTCCTGCTACATCTCGCAACCGTAGCTGGCGTTTTTTGTCAGTGACACTATCATGTAACAATGTTTGGAATGACTCAAGTGGCGGCAACCACACCAAGCAGGCATCAGTATCATGGATATTTGTATATTCAGGCTCTACAGTTAGACGTGTTGGGGGTGTAGTTGATGGTGGTCTTATTTGAAAAGCGTGATACCCTTTGATAACTGACTTTTTAAGGACCATGGATTGTTCTGAAGTTTCCTGAAAAATAAAAATTATATCATTAATAAAGAAAAATTATATTTAACAATAGCTTCATTTATATAAAAAGTAATCTTAATGAGCATAAGTTAAGAAAAAAGAATAAATACTAGCTACAGCATTAAAGCATTTATTTATTAGTCCCCTACCGGTTTAACCGGAGGGGACTTTAGGTTTACCCTCCGTCCGTCTGTCCGTCTGTCTGTCTGTCCGTCTGTCCGTCTGTCTGTCTGTCAGTCTGTCAGTCCGTCAGTCCGTCCGTCCACAAAACTGGATCCCGCGATAACGCAAAAAGTACTGAAAATATTTTTATGAAACTTGATATATGGATAGATGGCAGTATGGAGATTATGCACGTCTTTTTTTTTTCTTCCTATGTTGAAAATTCTGGTTGCTATGGCAACAAATAGTCTGAAAATATGGCAAATTTAACACATAAACTGGATCCAGTGATAACTCAAAAAGTACTGAAAATATTTTTATGAAACTTGAAATATGGGTAGATGACAGTCTGGAGTTTATGCACATATTTTTCTTTTCTTCCTATGTTGAAAAGTCTGGTTGCTATGGCAACAAATAGCCTGAATTTCAAGATTTCTGATTTAAATTTTTCAGCTTTTTCACTATATGTTCTTTATTTCTTAAGGTGTTTACTTCAAACTTTAAATATAAGTTTCTGGTCATCAACCACATCATATGTGACAAGGTTTATAACTCTAGCACAAAAAATATCAGTATTACCTCCCTTGAACTTAGATTTTTTAGGGGAAAAAATGTTGTCTTTTTTAAATAACTTCTTTATTTCCTAATGTATCTACTTCAAACTTCATATATATGTTTCTTATTATCACTCGACATTTTTGAGAAGGTTAGATACTCTAGCAAGACTATTTCCAGAATTATGTCCCCTTGAACTTAGATTTTTTTCGAGAAACTGGTATTTTCACTCCAACTTCTTCATTCCTTATAGGATTTACTTTAAAATCCCACATCGTAATAATATGACAAGGTTGTGTAAACATAATTTCCTTACTAAGCATGGAAACTTAACACATTACTGTGATATAGACAAACTTATTTTATTATGTTTTGTGGTTGATATTTTCAAATACAGACTTCATCCTCAAATTCATTATAAATGGCAATACACAGGAGTGTATGACAATTAAAGAACTTTTTGAGGGACCGGTAGGGGACTACTGTATTGCCCGCAATACTATCAAATGCTTGTTTTTTATGGGCTAGCCATGTTTAAAACTATTATTCTTTAATTCATACTTTGTGTAATAAAATTTTAATTTACATTTATTGACAATCTGGGCAAAAGAAGTCTGCGTCTTTATCAACAGGTCTTGATGACAGTCCATACTCACATACTCCATACTCACATGCAGCTTTTCTTAGTGACATACTCTTGTTACTTACACTGTATAGGGCTTGTCTCACTCTCTGCACTTTCCAAGGACTCATTCGCTTCCCATTGTATTTTTTTACCACTGAGGAGGCTGCATTCTGGGCTGGACTACATTGAACACTTTTTCTCTTTCCCTTAGGCATTAGAATCTGAAACAATAAAACAAGTAAACAAATGAGCTTGTCATGTCATGATGTGAGTAATGACAAAGAACAATAACCAAAAGTCCGGGAGGGGGGGGGGGGGGGTGATTACAAAAATATTCATACTAGAGTGATAAATCTATCACATGTCATGTGTGTGATAATAAGTAACAAACATTTGAAGATAAAAGTAGATACCACAAGAAATGAAGAAGTAATAATAATAATAAAAAAACTTTTTTTTTATTAAATTTTAAACAAAATTCTAAGTTCAATGGGGAAATAATTCTGTAAAAAAATGTGTGCTAAAGTAATAAATTTTGTCACACATCCTGTGGGTGATGATAAAAAAACATGCTTTTGAAGTATAAAATGGATAACTTAAAAATAAAGAAGTTACTGTACTGTATAGTTAAAAATAATATTTTAGAATCTAGTCTAGAACAATAGTATTTCAATGTTGCAGCAGTTTATACTACATAAAACACCATATTTTAGCATGGACTGCATAATTCACTTGCAATAATAACATAAATAAATGAAATTTTATATGTATTTGTATACAAACCAAAATTTGCTTTAAAAAATGTTTTCTAAAACCTGTTGAATAACTTTGAGGCGGTCCCTTCCTGGAAAATTGCATGACCCGCTATTGGACAACGTGATGCAATTTAATTGACCAGCGCTATCACTATAATTCCTCATGCATTTTTTAAACGGCTGCTTCTGCAGATAGTTAACATATTGGGCATCAAATACCTACCAGCTTTGATCTTATATCTTTTGGGGTTTTTCAGCAATAAAGCAGCGAATGCGAATTTGTGTTGTTACTGGCGCAATATTTCGCGACAAACGGAAACGCTTGGTAAAGCATCTGAATGAATCTGATTAGAACTATCCGGATGTTTACATTTTTTTTTCGCTGCCGAGGAGCTAACATCCAAATGCACATGACTGTTAGGTTATAACACTTTTAAGTTCAAAACATTAAGTAAAATAATTTATTAAATTACTGGCTGACCCGTTATTGACTATGATCCGCTATTGGCTAACTCACTGTATACATTTACGTGTATGCGGCTGTAGTTGGTCTCATAAGATTTGCAAGTAGGTTCATGAAATTGCCTCCAACGGATTTAAATTGCAGTCACTATAAATGACTCTCAGTCATTGGAACGATTTCAAAATTCGACCAGAAGGAGATATGTGTTTTAATTCATTTTGCATGTTTTGCATGTCATAACCTTTAACTTTTGGATTAAAGATATAATGGATCGCCGTGGCCAAATGGTTGTGATTACTCTTCTTTTGTTCATAAGTGATTGAATCATATCTAGATCTAATTAAAATTGAAAATTAAAGTATTTACGGACCCAATGGAACTAATTTAGCACCAGTCTGACTTGTTTTGACTATACCCACACGGGTATTTGTATAACGCGAAACGGAACGATATGAAACTTAAAAGTGGTGAAAAGAAAAAGAATAAAATACCATCTATTACTTGTACATAAAAGCATAGCACTCAATGATTTATACATGCACACTAGTATTTTAACCAGAACAACATTATATGATGTACCGGATATATATAAAGTCTTGTAAACATTAGCTGTCGAGTGATGAAATTCACACATGCTCCCTCGTTCAAATCAGGTAGCCTCGTGTTTCGCTCATGTTTCTATTACATATTTCATTTTTATTTCACTTACTTTAAGCCAATTAAACAAAACATAGAATAAACATAGTTTTTCATCCATTCACAGTAACTGGACAAAATGTAAACATGCGTAACAGCCTGTGTGTATATATAAATTAGGAGGCGCATTAATTTTTTACCATTGAACAGAAAATAAACATTTTGTAACAAATCAAACTTTTCATTCTACAATAACTACACGTCAAAGCATCGGTGTCTAATATTATACGAAATAGCAAATACAAAAGTTGTAGCAACTATTTTGGCAGTAAATTCTGCGGTACAACAAATGTGGTTAAATCGTGCTGCCAGGTCGTGAGAGCTGAGCCGGGTTGCTTTTTGACTTTCTGCTACACAGAAGATAAAATTATTGTTGATACGATTTTCGTACAAAAACTGACTTTCTGCAAGGGAAAGAAAACTTCTGAATTATTGTCGGAGGCCTTTAATGTTATGTTTTATATTAGAATGTATCACGAACAGTACATCAATCGTCAAGTTGTTGCTTAGATATTGATAAAATAAGTCTTATACATCTGTACTCAATATTGTCGTACACAATATCGAACAAATTAAACACATTATTTGTATTCATGTTCATATGTAATATGTTCAGAGTCTTTGTTGTGATCTTTTTTGTCATATTGAGAAAATAATTGTTGGTAATAGATAATCAGGAGTAATGGCTCCCAGAAAAAGAACTAGTCTGTGAAGACAACAAAATATTTTTTAAAACAGTATTACTTTGTTTCTGATCCAAACCAATTCAGCACATTCAGTACTTTGATTAGCCCAGCTATCATTAAGTGAAATAAACATGATCTGCTAACCACAATGTTAAAAAAGTAGTGAGTGTTTAGTATTCAGTGTCTATGGTTATAAAAGGAACAAAGACAATAATCATTGATCTTTATTGGTTGGATAATGAATGAATGTATAAAAACGTATCAGCATGCCTTTAAAAATATTTCTAAAAGTAAACCTATATTCAAATTTTTTTTATAGAGGACGTGATACAGAAACTTGTAGTACCGTCACGTGATACGATTATTTCCTATCACACTGGTGTCCGTGTGCTACCGATTAAGAGCGATTCAATGGGACAAGATGAACTGACGGATGAAGATGAATCGGATGGTAACGGTAGGTTTGCAAATTAAAAGGACTTTTTACCGTAAATGACGTCACGTTGTTTTAATATTTGGCGTGCTTATTCAGTATAAGGTTAAATTGTCCTTTTGAACGTTTCCTTGCACATAATATAAAGAGAATTTGATTAGTTTAGTGTAAGATCGAAATATATTTCACCTCGTAAACACCAAAAGTTTAAATATACCTTTTGGTGCTCAGTCGGTGAAATATATAGAGGATATTTGTTTAGTTCAGTGTAAGATCGGAATATATTTCACCGAGTGAGCACCAAAAGGTATATTTCACGAGTGGCGCAGCCACGAGAGAAATATGAATTTTTGGTGTTCACGAGGTGAACTATATTTCATTCTAACACTTACTAAACAAATTTTCTTTTCATTACATGCAAAGAAACGTTTAAAAATACATTTTAACCTAGTACTAAATGAAAAGCGCGCAAAATAATAATACAACGTGACGTCATTTACGACGTCACGTCATTAAACTGGTTTCCAGTACTGTGCACGCTGGTATTTCACCGAAACAACGTTACGGCTTAAATAAATTCAAAACAGTGAAAATTATCAAATTGATACTTTCACTGTTTCAAACACTGAAATTACCAGTGTATACCGATCTTACACTGAACTAAACAAATATCCTTTATTTATTACATGCTTTTCTGTGGTTTATAGAAATATATCTGTGAAATAAAAAACTAATATTTCACTGTTTGAAACAATGAAATTATGAATTTGAAATGTTTTTGATTTTAGCCCATTACGTTGTTTCAGTGAAATATTAGGGAGCACACTACTGGAAACCAACTTAACGATGTGACGTCGTAATTGACGTCACGTTGTATTATAATTTGGCGCGCTTTTCATTTGGATTTAGGTAAAAATGTCTGTTTAAACGTTTCTTTGCATATAATTAAAAGAAAACTTTAGTTTAGTGTAAGATCCGAATATATTTCATTTCGTGGACGCCAAAAGTCACATTTCACTCGTGGCTGCGCCACTCGTGAAATACATCTTTTGGTGCTCACTAGGTGAAATATAGCCAGATCTTACACTTAACTTAACAAATATCCTCTAGTATATCATAGATCAGAATCGTGAAATTATAAGTCCGACATTGTTTCAAATATCTGTTATCCGCTGTAATGTTCTGATACATGTGTTGTGTCTTTCAGCACTACATACCTGTTGTTGCAATACTCAATCCTAGAAATAAGTTTAGTTGGATATAATTATATAAAAAATTATGTAAGAATGATAATTAATCAAGCAATTGTACGTACTTTATCTTCTGGCTACTTTTTAGTTACTAAATAGCGTTTACATCTGATTATAAGTTTAAAAAATATATAAGTCTAAAAAAATACATGAAAGAGGAAGTAAATATATATTTAAAGGGTATTTGAGAGGGAATTATTTCATTTATTTAATGAAAGATAGTAAATTATCGTAAAATTGTTTGCATTACATTTAAGTAGGTTTAATATGGTTGAATGCAGTCCTTCCCTAAGGCCTTTATTTTAATGTTTTAGAAGCAATAATTTGAAAGAATAAAAAGCATAAATCAGCCAACTTTAGTTAACATGAGTTTTTTAGGCATAAATGAATTTACTTTAGATCACAAGTTTTTTTGTTGTTTTTTTTTTTGTTTTTTTTTGTAACAGTTGTTTTTTTTTCTTTACCGTTCAGTGTTTTTCGTCCACCTTTTGCTGTCGCTTTCAAAGGTGTGTTTTTTAACAATTAAGAATATGTTTGCCCAAACATTTTAATAGTTATCTGTCTGTAGGTAAAACATGCTCGTTGATTGACTCATTTGTGTTAGTTTTCTTATTGCGACGACTTGGTAAGGTTAAACGAGAGCAAAGTTGTTATTTTGTGACGACAGGGAACGCTTTTCTTTTATTTTACCTCAACAAAAGTTGTAACAATTATTTGGGTCTTATTAAAAGGTCAGGGGAGCCAAAACATTTCCAGCAGCTTAAATTTAGATTGACAAAACATAATTATACAATCATTGAAATTATGAGTACGAGAATGCTTCAAAAACGCAATGTGTTTCCATACTTAAATGGGATGTTTTGGTTCAATTATTGTATTCAGGTACGATTTAATAGCTACACAAGCACGAAAACCGCGTCAAATTGCTTCCACAATGCCAAAGATATCCACTTTTAAATGTGTGTTAGTAATATACACTGTGCAATTTGCTGGCTCACCAATGAGTAAACAA